AGCTATGTATATCATTTATATCTACATTACATTGCTGTATCATCTGTGATGCTACAGCCAACGTTATTTTTTGTTCGTAACATGAAAATTAAAACATGAAATTAAACAAAAAAAATATATATATATATATATATATATAAAAATTGAAAATTCTCTAGTGCAAAAGTTTGATGTAATAGTCATAGCTTTACTGTTTACGAAGTAACTTAACAATATAATTACTTACCTCCGTGTCGAAAAGTGATTTACCAATATTGATGTTGTTGATAACTTTCAAAAACGTATAGGCCATTCCTCCACCAATGATCATTTCATTAACCTATTTAAACAAGATAAAGGTGATTGAGTGTCTTAAACCAAATAAATCTTTTTTTACACTTACTTAAGTCCTCTTAAAATGTATTACTCTTTTTAATAATCGCACTCCACTGGGAATTTTATCTCTTTTATGAATATAACAAAAAAACCTCTCATAGGTTCCAACTCATGTCATAACAGGCAAACAAGTAAATTCGAATAAATGGTCATTTTTCATAAATAAAGCCCATGGAAAATTTTTTTGCAAACACTTCAATGAAAATTAAACAAAGATGCCAGCAAGTTACTTCTCTTATTTTAATATAAAAAGGATATCCAGTCACAGCATGTCTCTACTCGTGTACAAAAAATGCGAAATCAAAAAAAAGAAAAAAAAAAGACGAAGACCACAGAACTGTTCAACTGTTACTTCATATAAAAATAATACGTACAAGAAATAACACACATAAGTAATTTACATCAAAAATACTTCAACATTACCTTATCTAAAAGATTGCGAATAAGTTGAATCTTGTCTGCCACTTTAGCACCACCCAAAATTGCTAAAAATGGTGGGACAGGATTATCCAGAGCCTTCGCAAAATAGTCTAGCTCTTTCTTCATCAGAAAACCGGTGGCACGTTTATCCAATTTGACACCAACCATGGAACTGAAAACAAAGAGATCAAAAAATTCAACTGCCTACGGACTAATTAGTAACTTACGCAACAAACATACTTTTCCCATCAAACTTTTTATCAACTAAAAAAACTTGTGTCAAAATAGTTTAAAGATTACCAACCAGATAAATGAGGTGAAATTTAAATTGATTTGAAAGACTATAATATAACGTTTGACAGAAAGTAAGACTAGCGATTAGCCCAAAACAAATGATTAAAAAGCTGACATCGTGAACCTCTTTCCAATAGCTAATGATATGTGAATGATGACATATTCTCTTGAATTTCTGAATAATGTTATTTCATTTACCTGTGTGCACGATGTGCAGTACCAAATGCATCATTCACATAGACATCGCCATGTTTCGTCAGAGATGCACGGAACTTGTCAATATCAGCTTGTGATGCCTTCACCTAAAATCAAATGATGAAATTAGAAACTAATTATAAATAAAGAGACGACCTGATTATTCGAAATGATGGCGACATTAATTCAATTACCCCTAGATAAGAATAAGAATATCCATCCCACCGATTTCATCATATCAATGCAATCAATTTCAAAAAGAAATGAATAATCCATACATTTCGCTGTTAGCTTACTCAACCGCTAGATTAAGAGAGAGGATTTGCAAATCGTACCTCTCCCTCAGTAAATATATATAAAATACACAGTTCACATTACTCGAAGATTTGATATACTGAATGATCGATCAAATCAGATGATCTATTAAAAAAAATCGAAGAGTGAAACATTCACTTTTCCTGAATAATTTCATTTCAAATAATCATACCTTTTCACCCTTCTCATTTACACCTTTTCCTTCTTCTTCCAAATAAAATCGAAGATTTTCAAGCAAAATAACACTGCCAGGAGCAGGATCAGCTGTTGCTTTTTCGGCTTCTGGTCCAACACAATCATGCACAAATGTGACATCCCTGCAGAAATATCAATCCTATTTCTTTTTAGTTATTTCGAAAGAATGATTTGTCTTTTTTTTGCAAGACAATGTACAATAACATCTCGATTGTTATTTCCTTCTTTGAATAGTTATCTGAATAAATTTTTAAATAAATGTATTATGCTTACTTGCCGAGAACACTTTTCAGTTCTGCTACAACTGGCTCCAGTGTGAATTCCATTTTTTTCATCCCATCTGGACGTCCCAAATGTGACATTAATACAACTGCTTTTGCACCATGATCTAACGCATACTGCAATAGCATAATATCAGTGAAATTTCAGAGGAGAAGAACGTGATAATTCCTACATGTTCAAATTATTTTCTGCCATGTATCTGTTTCTTTTTCAAATTTTCATCTATGAAATCAAAATTTAACATCATAAATTTCATGCAGAAAATGAAAGCTAATGGACGTGGGAATAATGCAAATATATTGAAATATATTTCGAGATTACTTTCTCGGAAAAGTTTAACACAATAGATTTACCTTAATAGTTGGCACAGCAGCCGTAATACGTTGGTTGTTCGTAATTTTCCCATCTTTAAGTGGCACATTAAAATCAACTCGAATTAGAACTCTTTTATCTTTTACATCCACTTTATCAATCGATAACTTATTCAGTGTCATTTTGTTTTGTATTCCACGTAAAAGAGCTCGAAGGATGATGCTATATAAAAAACTTTGTTAGATTAAGCAGAAATATTAGAACTAAAATTTCTTCACGGTAATATCATGTGAAAATATTAGTCACAAAAAAAAAAAAAAAACAATAAATAACATATATTGCTAGAAATACGTATTAGAATATATGCATGAGGTATTACAAACTTTAATATATAATCAAATCTTTTTTTTGATTTTCTAAAAAGGATAAAAAACTGAAAATTTTTCCATTGAACAGAGCTTTTAAAATCAAGAATAAAATCATAGAGATAATTTTCCATTTTACCATTAATGTTCATTCTGCCACTCATCTCATATGAAACTCTAAAAGTTACTAGTCAATTTTAGCAATCAAAACTATAATTAACTACATGTAATCACCAAATCATGAATATGTGCACTTTCATTAAAAAAAAAAAAAGAAAAACAGGTTTTAAGGTTTTTGAGTAAAAGTAACATAGAATATCAGATGTAGCAACAATTCTCGCTTATCTGCTAACATTAACATTAACGAGAAACGTAACGAAGATCATAAATATCACGTAATGTAACAGCACTAAAATTTAATGAATGATGATGAATGTAATGAAATTAATGCACGTAATGATTCGAATGTACGTAATGTAACGTCGAGCATACGTAATAAATACAATAACAAACTGGAATTTGAGTATACTTGACGAATATACTAACAAATTGGAATTCGAATATACCAACAAATTGGAATTCGAATATACGTTAACGGATATACTAATAAATAAGAATTTGAGTATACGCAACGAATATACTAACAAATTGGAATTCGAATATACGTTAACGAATATACTAACAAATTGGAATTCGAATATACGTAACAAATACGTAAAGATGAGATATTTTGGTAGTGAAATTGACCGAAATTATTTTCCGTAATCATAACATCATCTTACGTGCATTTTTATAAAAGTGAAATTATAGTAAAAGGAATGAAATAGGAAGAAATGAAGAGCAAATACTTCTTTCTTGTCAGACAGACAAGCCTATGCAACACAATTGATGATGCCCTTCTCAACACGGTCGATTTTAAAATCTACCCTATATGCTTGCATATGTTTGTATGTCTGAATACATCTTCATGTTAGCGTATGTCTGGCATATCTAGATATGTGTCTGTGTACGTCTGTCTATCTGTCTGTCCGTCTGCTTGTATCTGTATATATTACAGAATGATATTATATCTCATTTCAGATTTCCCGCTTCCTTAAATTATTCCCGTGAATTCGAAGAGTTATAAATGTAATGTAGTTAAAAACTCTTCCTCGATAATTGGTATACCATACAATATTAGCATGAATGAGTATACTGTATTGGGTATAGCATGAATATACAAAGTGATGACAGGGAAAATGTCACATATGACAGCTATTTTGACTTTAGCACCATAATAATAATAAAATCAGATTTCCCAATAAACACTATAATTTATAAGGAAAGAAAAGACAATTTTCTTGGTTTGAATGCAAATTACAGTAATTATGCGTGCCGGATAATGTACTGTAACGCATGTCTGATCATACTGTAATGCATATTTGAATGAGGATTACACTACATTTGGGAATTCAAAATTTTGACACTTAAACTGAAATTCAGCACTTCTCGTAGCTTTTAAAAAAATTATTCGGCACCATTTTCCTCAACTATACTCGATTTAATCTTTGGTGAGACATTGCTTGCTATGAAAGACATCAATCTATGGTGCTGTGGTTATTATACTTATTCCGTTTCCTTATGACCTGGCTAGCTTATTCTAAACTTATGGAAGTATGATGGAACGAAGAAACCTCTGCCTTGCTCTGAGGTTTTATCGGGAATGAACTTAGTGAGTTGAACTGCTTACTTTTTAACAGTCAGTTTTCCGATATGCAAATTAATTTTAGGGAGGAAAAAAAATGGATACATTTTACTGATGACTTGACTATCTTTAGACAGATCAGCATACCGAATTCTGGAATGTCTGGAAATATGGCAATACGTAACACCGTTAAATGTCGCTCCTTTCGAGAATAACACATGTGCACTTGAACTTATACAATGGAACAAGATTTTGAAGAGCACCTGAAATTTCGAAATCGGAATTCTATCCGATCGTTCATTACGATTCAATTCTATTTGTTGCCAGAATTTGATGGAATAATTACGCAACACATCTATTATAAATGAATTTATAATCGAAAAACGACATATCAAATTTTATAAAAAATACGACGTCAGCAAATTAAAATAAGGCTTCGCCACAAATGATTGTTAAAAAAGATAAATGTTGATGGAATTAAGTTTAAGCATGAAAAATTGACTACTAGCGAATTATAAATTAAAAAGAAAAAATTTAACATAAAGTGAAAATAGATACTGCCAAATGATACTGGAAAAAAGAAAAGCAGAAGATGGTCAACATTAAGAAAGTTCAGAAATGCTTGCTTTGTAAGCTTACTAGAGGTTTTTATGCCATATTTTCGCGACGATACAAAAAATTCAAACTTCACCGGTGATTTCACAACAATTAAGCTCATTTCCGTCACTTTAAAATCTACCAATTAAACAACCAAGACAATTCAGGAATGCTCATACGAAATAGTGAAGAATCTTTACAGTTAAATAGAAAATTATTGTGCCAAAAATGTTCAAGTGCATTCATCTTCCACCTCTGGCACCACCATAGCTTCCGTTTGATATGTAGAATCGTGCTTAGATAATATTCTTAGCAGCGGTCTCATCTTCATCCACCACTGATGTTTCGGTACACGATGTTCAAAATCAGTTTCTAGTGCCAACTGTTCCACGGGTGTAAATACTGTACGACGACCCTAAAAACCAAATTATATTTTCCAGTGTATTCTATTATTATAAGAAACATTACGTTTTGATACAAATCTTACAGGATGAAATCTCATCTAATCTAACTAGGTATTATTTCTTACCTAATCAATCGTCTAAAATTTATAAAATTAAACAATGAATTGCTTACCACCAATCCTAACAGTGTGGCACTGTCAGGAGAAACTGCATTTAATTTACCAGTTTTCAAATCGATATATTGCCCTATTTGCGTTAAAAGGAAGTCCAATGCACGGGCTGCAAGTTTTGTTCCCATATTACGGTCGAATGGTGTTGGATTACCACCTTGTTGTGCATGTCCTAATACATTGGTTCTGAAAATCCAAAAAACTGGAAACCGATTTTGATTTAATTCATTTTGGAGACAACAATAGAGTCATGTTAAATGTATTGGTGAAAATATTCATGTTCAGGACACAACTTTTCCAGAAACGGAATAGTACAAGAAGGATCGAAGAAGGTAACCTTGTCGAAAATGCTCCCTTTCCTTCTTCAGCGAATAACTGATTCACAAATTCTGTAGTGTAATTTTTATTAGCATATTCATTACGTACAATTAAATAACGTTGCACGCCGGTACGCATTTTACGACTAATAACCTGCAATGGAAGAATACTTTAACAAAACTGAACTGTAATAGTGATAAAATTGTACGCTCATTGAAAAGTATCCTGCAATGAACGTCCAAATTATCTTTGAAATCACAATGATGTTAGCGTCACATATTTCAAAAGCACTAATTTCAAAGCACTAGCCAGTAACAGGAATTCCTATGTCTTACTGCCAGTGAGATTAATATCATCCTAGGAAAATTATTTCACACTTGCAATCTTCATTCACATCGAAGTCATATAGTTACCAAATAATTTCATATACTGCCAGTAAAGCAGTGTATGAAAAAAAATTTGGTAAATTTAACGTGGTCAACAATAGAATCATTCTAGCTTATTCAAGTTTCAAGAACATAACTTGATGCACTTCGGCATTTAGCAGTCTTTTTTAATAGTTGTATGAGTTGAAATTTGCAACAATCTTACCTTTACATCATCCATAATATCAAATACGTTGAATTGTTCTTCGAAGATATAAGCATTATCAGCTCCAGATGCCAATGCCGAAATGGTTGCCAAATAACCACAAAATCCACCCATCGTTTCGACAATAAAAACTCGTTTCTTAGTGCCAGTAGCTGATAGTTTGATTTTGTCAATCATTTCGCAAATTTCATTAACAGCTGTATCGGAACCAAGGGAAAGCGACGTTCCCGGAACATTATTACTGATAGTACATGGAATAACGCACATCGGTATTCGCAGCGATGGGTATTTATCACGGGCACGTGAAAGAAGTAAACAAGAATGGTAAGCCTGAAAATGATTCCTTACTAATTTTCGATACCGTGAATAATTTAGTAAGATTACACTGGTATGTACTTCCAACAATAAGTTGGAATTATGTTCCAAAAATAGGCAAAATATACTTCGGAGTAATGATTTCAAATGCAGGTATTAACCAGGAATATATAAGCATTATCTTTCATGTTAGTTCGAAGATCACCACTACCAATTAAATCTTTATAGATTACTTGTGGAAGCCTAATATCTGTAGAATAAATTCAAGACGATATCAAAAAAAGATCATTAGTAACAACTGCGTTAATATTCAACCGTATTCAACGTACAGTCACGCTACTAATAGACACAATAAATGGAATGATCAGAGAGCGCTGGCAACTAATATATAAGAGAAGTTTCGTTAATAAATCATAAGATTGTTTATTCGACTAAGCAATGTGAAAAATCAACCATTTTATTAAGAATAATTTATAAATGTTTACCTCAAATCCACCCACAAGTAATAGCGCATGGAAATTGTACTTTTTAAACGCATTAGCAACTTTATCCATAATCTTTTCGGGCAGTTGCTTTTGTGTTCCAAGAAATGAGCCGCCGTGCATTACCCAGTTATTGACATCACCCCAAGCCATGTTCTTAAGCAATTTTTTTCTTAAAGAGCAACGAATAAAGTAGCAAAATAAACACAACACAAATACCTTTTGCCTCCCTCCTCCCCAATCTCCAAACTTTTTCCACAACTGAAATGAAGTTATTTATTCGCTCACCTGTACCTCTCCCCGGCAAAGCCCTTCGAACGAATTCTTTATACCATACACCATGCATCCATTATAAAGTGCCATACGGACATACGAACGCACTACTGCATTCATCCCTACAACGAGAACAAAAAACTTTTCTGAGGTAAGCACTTATGAATGATTATGACATGTAAAAAAGAAAGAAAGTACTTTAAAGGCAATGAAATACTTTAAAAGTATTACCCCTTATAAGAACTATCTTAAGTTTATTTTTCGAACCACTTTAAATTTATTCCGGAACCACCCTAAATTTAAAAACCATCTTTATTTTTTGCTTCTTGCTTAAGCAAAGAACAACTGTGAAGCACTAACCACCAGCAGGCGCACCAACATTAATTACTGCTACGATGTGAACTGGAACAACTGGATGAACTGCTTTTGGTTGCACTTTTGTAAGCAAGCGATAAGTCGCAAGATTCCGTTGAAAGCTCCGACCTCTTAATCTCACAGCTGTTTCCCAATCACGCTCGTCCATGGCTTTCTTTACCTAAAAAGGTTTTCGACTACTCAATATACACTTTAATTTGGAATAAAAAGATTAATTTAGCTATACTTCAGGACAAAGTGAACTATCTATCTATCCAGTATAATTTTTCATTTGTATGGATACAGGCCGATTACATATATTGTATTTCTGGACAAAAACCAACAACACAAAAATCGTAAAATTACCGCTTGTGTACGTTGAACACATTGCATGAGTGGGACGCGTACAATCGCATTACCATCGATTGAAACAACACAAGGCTCCGACTGTGGTGTCATTTCCATCAAAGCAAGTACTGCTTCTGCACCCATACGACATCCAAGCAATCGGTCAAACGCTGATGGATTACCACCACGCTGTACGTGTCCCAACACGGTCACACGTGTATCGTAATGTAAAGTTTCCTTTACGACTGAACGGACCTAAACGACAACAATTCACATTGTCAATTCTACAGAGAAAAAATTTTAAAAAGGAAAAGTCACGGCAAAATACATACTGATTCAGCGGTAATAGATTTTCCTTCTCTATCCATTGCACCTTCTGCAACGATCACAATATTTAACCGTGACCCTGCTAAACGCATCATTCGCAGTTTCTGGCATAACACCGTAGGCCAATCTGTTGGTACTGGCCATTCAGGTATGAAACAGAAATCTGCTTCAGAAGCCAATGCAGCAACGAGTGCCAAATAACCACAGTGACGACCCATCACCTAGAACTTGCTAAAATAAAGTATTTTCAGGACCATCATTATTCCTCCTGCCAAATTCGATGAAAGAAAATGATGGAGCAATATTGACAGAATGGAGCTATTAGTCGCAATAATATTCGACTGTATCCTACACCTCCTTCACATGGATTATGAATCTGGCTAATTTCAGGGCATCCCGAGTAACTGAACGAAATAGATGGTTGCATTCAATAATTAGTTTTATTTCGTCCATCTTAATAAGAAAAATGAGAACCTCAATAACGAATGTACGTTGATGACTTTGAGCCGTTGACATCACGCAATCAATTGCCTCGCAGATTCGTTGCAGTGCTGTATCAGTACCAATAGTCATGTCTGTACCGCAAAAATCATTGTCAATGGAACCAACAAGTCCAACGATCTGCAATATTCCAGCTAACTGAATTTTAATTATGGTCAACACAGGTAATTTAAAATCACTTTAAGCATACGGTACTGTGTGAAAGTTACATTTAAATGTTTATTTTACAAGACAAAAAACTTAAGTAACTGTGAATTTAATACTCAAATCCTAGAAACCTGAAGCTACTCTAGCGTTAAGGTAAAGATCGATTGTACTACATGCTCTCGTTACATTTGGTCCTAATATCTCAAATTTTACCTGGATGTTATCACATTCTTTCGCCTCTTCCTGTGTTATTCTCCCACTTGACAGAAGCTCTTTTATCAAATCATGCCATTCTTGTCGGAAAAGATTAGCGCCCGTTAATGAACCATCACCTATAAATAAATGAATTGTTACTCCCCATTCAATTGGAGAAACAATCTTGAATATATGTCTAAAAACTTGGCATCTGGAATTAAAGAAGTTACAAGTTTGATCCTGATATTTTAATATGTCGCAATGATGAATGCTCCAATGCGTTAGGAAGTTCTTTTATACTGACTGAATATTCCCTTTAGTTGAAAGAGGAAAGTCATACTATGAATAAAAACGAAAGAGAACGAGAAAGATAGGAACAAAGTTGAGCTCCTTCGTCACAGATAAATATTTAACAGAAACTCGAGCTAAGTAAATAACGTAAAATTGTTCCAGTAGCTTCTAACCTTCGGCCGATAGGATTCCTCATTCAGATGGAAACCACCATTCAGAAACACACGATAGGATTTATCATGAAAACCCAAAAAATGCAAAAAAACTACCTCCAATACACACAAGATTGGTGATGCGACGTTTGATAAGATTTTCAGCAGCTTGCAAACGTCCCCGCCGCTCTCGGAAATCTTTGCAACGTGCTGATCCAATAACAGTACCTAAACTCCAATAACAACACCATTCCTTGAAGATTACAAGATGGAATAAAAAAAAAAAAAGAAGATTCACATGGTTAGCATAATTCTTCAAGTAGGAATATTTAAACATGTCCATACATAACTGTTAATATTCCTTATAATTAGCAACTTGCCTCCACGTTGTATGATATCCGATACTGACTGCCAATCTGCTTCCTTGATATTATCACCACCATCCACCATTCCCTGATATCCTTCATAAATGAGAAAAACCCGGCATCCAAGATAAATACCCATTCTAACTACTGAACGTACAGCGCTATTCATCCCTTAAAAATCAGAAATATATTTCTATTTGCAGTGAAACTCAATTAAAAGAACATTCATTCCTTTCCGTCACATTTAAATTTCAAAATACAGTATTTCTCACATAATTGAAATGGAAATAACGTACATTCCATTACCATTAAAATATGACTAAACCAAAATGTTTTACGATCATCAGTTCTATACAATATTCGAATAGAATAAAAGTACCACAAGCATCACCACCACTGGTGAAAACAGCCATAGCACGACCACTATAAATCTGTGGTGCGATCGAAGTACCTTCTCGACCAGCTGACGGTACGATAGAATCTGACCCCATCGAAAGTTGCATTCGATGCACACCAGTAGCCAATGGACCAAGTTCATCTTCGGGTGAACCTAGCAGCAGTTCGGATTTCTCCATTATTTTCTAAAATAAAAATCCAAGAACTTAAAAAAAAGCGACGTCAATGATTTTCTTCCGGTTTTTTTCACATAGATAGGGAGTAACACTAACATTCCTCAAGTACCACAAGAACTGTTCGAGCACTAATTATCGAATTTAGTTGTTTATGTGCTTCTTACAAAATATAACTACAGAACTATTTAGGTTCCTCTATAGTGAACTGTCAAAACTTTGAAAATTTTCAAATGGTTCATTTTCGACAAAAAAAAAATTTGGAAATATCCTCCTATGGTAAATTAACCGTTCAATAAATGTAGCATTTATGATAGGATACACTTCATAAAAAGTTTATTTAAGCCAAGAATAAAACTTAATCAAAAGGAAAGCATTGGTAAATTAATAAATTATGAATGTCAACTGGAAAATATTTATGCATTACTTTTAATATAATGTTTATTCAATACAAACCTTGGCTCAGTAAAGAAAGGTCAAATAACGAAATGAAAAAATTGATATATTATAATTAAAAAATTGATATAATTATGACAGAATTATTTCAAAATAAGAAAATTAATAAAAACAATAGTGGGATTAACATATTACTCGGCAACAGTATCAACTAAGCGACGAAATTTGTTGGATGGAAGATTTTTGATGGATCAGTTATAAAGTGCAAAAATGACATAAAAAGCATTGGGTTGTCACATTTTTTTCAGTCTTCCTTCTCATTTTCAGCATCCTTTCCCTCTTGTAAAAACTTTGGAACGAAATGGAACGTTGGAACGAAATGTTTCTTCCACTTGTTGTTCAGCAAAAATACAGTGTGATTCAGTACTGTGGAGTTATTAGCAAAAATACTGCTGACTACTCCATAATAAGTGGACCACATTTGCTCACAGAAGTTGTGCTCAATAGAGTTGCATCTACTCCTTTCCTATGTTTAATATATTTTATTTTATGGTTCTCGACAAAGATTTGGAGCATTAGAATGCCAAATTTTAAATCAGATAAGAAATAACAGTTTCAAATTCTGACAAACAGCAGGAAAAAGTTCCAAACTTTGAGAAACCACTGGTAAAAGTTTCAAATTTTGACAAACATTGGTAAAAGTTTGAAAGCATGATTACGAGTTAATTTTCACCTATAATCTCGCAGTTTTCTCACGATTTGAAACAAGTTCACATGTATACTTAATGGGGATAACATAGTCCAACAAAAATCAACAAGTTTTTTAATGTTTACTCCGCTTAAGACCATATGTTAACATAGTTTTAAAAATCCTAAGATAGCATGATTGTTGCCATCTGCTTTAAATGAAATGTATGCTAAATAGTTGAACTAATAGAGAGAGAGCAGTCGAGTGTTGTATGCATACAGAATTGAATGCTCAGCAAATCAAATACAAATGATCACTCGCAGTTTTTTACGCAAACTTTTGTGTAATCAGACTTCGGAACTTCAAAGGGTTTGTACAGTGGAAGAGTGGAAGTAAATTCATGCATATCATACAAAAAAGCACAAATGTCAGTCACAAACATAGCAAGTTCTGGAAGAAAGTAAACTAAAACATTGGACATTCCAGAGATGCTTTCATTCATCTTACCTGATGGTACCGCATGCAAAACCGAAAACAGCAGCTTTTTTTTCAATCTCACGAATTACAATTTTTCGATTTTCAAGTTTTAATTCCTTAATTTCTCTAACATTGAACATATGAAACTTCAAACTTTCATTTCCTAAAATTGCAACAATAACAGTATTCAGTTCATTTCTTGCTAGAACTTTCAACAGATTCTTTTAATTCTGATTCATCAGCAACAATCTTCGACGACGACGCTTCAATTTTCTTCACTAAAACGAACTGTTATGTAGTGAACCTTTGAGTTTTTTCGTCAACATACATAAATAGTAAATTATTTTTCAAGTGAAAAATTTCAAATTTCCAAATGAATTAGATTTTTGCCGAATTTGTTGTTCACTTTTGGAATAAAATCTAATTAGTTTTCATTATAAGGGGGAATATAAGGGAGATTTAACTGTAATGCAAGGACTACAGTAATAAACAAAGCCCAAACGTATTTTATAGAATCGAACGAAATCATAAGTAAAAATAGCAAATGATGAATGATACCTTCTTTTTCTATGCTTTCAAGAAAAGCAGCTTTCATTGATTCGTCTGACTGTGGATGATAAAGACCGAGAAGAGTTGCATCTGCTTCCAACAATGTTAACTCTTTTGTAGAACCCAAAAACAGCTCAGAAAGTTCAGGATCATGCAGACGAAGAAGAACTTTAGCTCCTATTTTATAACTTCTGAAACACATAATTTTAGACTACTGGTTAATTGAGCCATTCTCTGTTAGGAGAAGAGAAATCAATGTCAAATAACACCCGATGTAATGTGTGGCGGAATAAAAAGTAAAGTAGGGAATGACAAGGAGTATGTCCTCACCAAAAGTTTGCAAAGTTTGCATTATCATTTAATGAAATAGTAGTATTGAAATTGGTTCTTTCAAATCACTCAATGAAATTATCACAAAATTTCAGCTGTCGCATCCTTGAAA